GGCCACCACCGTGTCCCTTGGATGGACAGTAGTGTGTCCTTAGTTCATGGGTCCCAGGATGGTCACCACCACGTCCTCTGGGGTGGTCCCTGGATGGCCACCACCATGTCCCTTGAATGGCCACCACCATGTCCCCTGGGTGATGGTCCCCAGATGGACACCATTGTGTCCTCTCGATGGCTATCAATATGTCCCCTGGATGGCCACCACCGTGTCCCCTGGGTGGACATCAGCGTGTCCCCTGGACAACGGGTCCTCGGACATCCATGTGTCCTCTGGATGGCCACCACCATGTCCCCTGGATGGTGGTCCCTTGATGGCCACCACCATGTCCCCTGGATGGCCACCACCACATCCTCTGGATGGACACTACTGTGTCCTCAGTTTGTGGGTCACTGGATGGCCACCACTGTGTCCCCTGAATAATGGCTCCCTGGACACCGATGTGTCCCCTGGATGGCCACCACCACAACCCCTGGATGGTCACCACCGTGTCCCCTGGACACCAGACACAACCACGTCCCCAGCCAAGGGTCACCATGAGCAGATGCCCCATGTCCCCTAGATGAGGACACTACCGTGTCCAAGGCCAAGGTGTTCCTCAACCTAGCAGATGCTCCACGACCCCAAGGGGACACCGCCACGTCCCCAACTGCCCGTGGCACCAGGCGGGTCCCCTTCTTCCACCGCCTACCTTCCCTCGCAGAGTGCCCGGCCATCGTGCCCCGGTGCATGTGGGGTGCCCGTCCCTACCGGGGCACCCCCAAACTGTTGACCCTCCCCTTGAGCTCCGTCTACATCCACCACACCTTCGTACCCAGCGTCCCGTGTCGCACCTTCACCGCCTGCGCCCGCGCCATGCGCGCCATGCAACGTTTCCACCAGGACATCCGCGGTTGGGATGACATCGGTTACAGGTAAGACCATCGTCATCGTCATCCCAACCGTCATCACCGTCACCCATCTCCGGGAAGTTCACGGGTGACCCATGGGTGTTTGCAGCTTCGTGGTGGGCTCGGATGGGTACCTGTACCAAGGTCGAGGTTGGCATTGGGTTGGTGCCCACACCAAAGGCTACAACAGCAAAGGCTACGGCGTAGGCTACGTCGGAGACTTCTCGACCACCTTGCCGGATCCTGACATCATCGCCCTGGTGCGGGATGGATTCCTATCCTGTGCCGTACGAACCGGTCGGCTTCACCGTAACTACACCCTACGTGGCCACCGCCAGATGGGTCACACCGACTGCCCCGGCAACTCTCTCTTCCGTGAGATTGAGACCTGGCACGGCTTCAAGGTGGGCACCAAACTCTGTGGTATCTCCAGGGGTTGGAGGTTTGGGTGTCGTGGTTGGGTTGGCTGGTCCGGTCCGGCATAGCCGGGAGGATGGAGGTTTGGTGAGGGTGGATGTGGGAGGTGATGCCGGAACTGATGGTGGTTTCTTCTCTCCATGGCAGTGAGGACCAGCGCCGTGGGTCCTGGTCTGGATGGGTGCAGGCAAGGTTGGATCATGGTCTAGATGGATGTTGGCCAGGCGGGTGATGGCCACCAGCCTGGATAGACCCTGGTTGAGGTGACTGTTGGTCTGGTGGCCACCAGCCTGGATGGACCTTGGTCCAGAGGGCCACCAATCTGGTGGCCACCAGCCTGGATAGACCCTGGTTGAGGTGACCACCAGTCTGGTAGCCATCAGCCTGGATGGACCTTGGTCCAGATGACCACCAGTCTGG